AATATAAGTAGCCTATCATGTAATATGTATAATATGACTATCTAATGTAACCTACATTTAATGCTATATTTTATATATTTTTTATAAATTTATTGGATGCTTTTCACAGACTGTGATGACATTTAACGCCAATAATTAATTATAAATAAAAAATAAAAATAATTATAATCGTAATAAATCGTAAGTAAATTTAATCAGAAGTAAATTTATTTATACAATTTGTAATTACACATTTATTATTAAACAATAGTTATTCACTGATTAAATATTAAACAATATTTATCATATATACAGTGGGTACGGAAAGTATTCAGACCCCCTTAAATTTTTCACTCTTTGTTATATTGCAGCCATTTGCTAAAATCATTTAAGTTAATTTTTTTTCCTCATTAATGTACACACAGCACCCCATATTGACAGAAAAACACAGAATTGTTGACATTTTTGCAGATTTATTAAAAAGAAAAACTGAAATATCACATGATCCTAAGTATTCAGACCCTTTGCTGAGTATTTAGTAGAAGCACCCTTTTGATCTAATACACCCATGAGTCTTTTTGGGAAAGATGCAACAAGTTTTTCACACATGGATTTGGGGATCCTCTGCCATTCCCTCTTGCAGATCCACTCCAGTTCTGTCAGGTTGGATGGTAAACATTGGTGGACAGCCATTTTTAGGTCTCTCCAGAGATGCTCAATTGGGTTTAAGTCAGGGCTCTGGCTGGGCCATTCAAGAACAGTCACAGAGTTGTTGTGAATATATATATTATTATATTAGATATATTATATTGCTTAATATATATATATATATATATATATTGTAAAAATGTAATATATATTTATAATATGTATGATAAATATATCATACAATAAATAAAATATATTAATTTAAATAAATAAATAAATATTTACATAGCAAATAAACCATTGTTTTCATGACTTTCAAAAGCAGTAAAAACAGCAATGGATACCAGCCAGTTGTTGATTCCCATCTCCAATGTAGCCTATTTAGCTTTTTAGCAGCTCTGATCTGTGATGTTTAGGACTTAGGCTGTATCATGTCCTTCAGAAGCTGATGATCGGCCTTCTCATTGAGATTTAAAGGGCTTTAACAGCAGCAGCTGGACATGCACATGCACGCTCTGGGGTGTGTGTGTGTGTGTGTGTGATGTTTGCTCAATAATAACATAATGTGCTTCAGTCTGCATTCCCGCAGCTGGTAGAGCTCCAGCAGATCTAGGATGAGGACAGACACGGTCAGCAGACAGTCGCTCTGGCTGGTCATCGCTGATATTTTAGGCCATTCTTACTAATGCAGAAAACACGGAATTTTTTTATATAGCCAATAGCGTGTCTAGAAAACTTCAAAGAAATTTAGTGCAAACAGAAATGTAAATGGAAGTTGTAGTTACAGTGGGTACGGAAAGTATTCAGACCCCCTTAAATTTTTAAATCTGCAAAGATGTCAACAATTCTGTGTTTTTCTGTCAATATGGGGTGCTGTGTGTACATTAATGAGGAAAAAAAATTAACTTAAATGATTTTAGCAAATGGCTGCAATATAACAAAGAGTGAAAAATTTAAGGGGGTCTGAATACTTTCCGTACCCACTGTATATATAATAAAATACAAATAAAAAAAAAAAGACCCTAAACTTGACCCTGATCTTCATGCCAATCATCAGTCACATGACCTGTCGAGGCAGTCACATGACTTTTTTTGACGGGGATCTAGGAATTTATAAATGTGCTTTTCACGTTTAGTCTAGTCTATTTATTTATATAGCACATTTAAAAACAACAGACTTTCAGCTTATTTCTATTCTTGCAAAAATAAATAAATAAATGAACATTACTCCACCTAAAATGAGGATGTGCATATTTTATGAGCATTGTGGAAAATGTATTTGCGTCTTGGTGTGTTTCCGTCGAGCATATTTTACATGCAATAGGCCTACCCCAAAATTCACATAGAAATGACATGGATACAAACCTGGTCAGTCAAAAAATAATAATTTGAAGACAGCAAAATAAAAATAAATAAATAAATTTAGGTCTGTTTTTTTTTTTCAAACAAAAATCTGTTGTATATTTTTGCTCTTTCCTCCTTGCATATATACACACATACATTTACATTTTACATTTATATACAATTTGTATACAATTGTATAATTTATATATTAAATATAATCTTTCTTTTTCTTTTTTATATAGAGATGTATAAAATTGCATACTTTTTTTACTTTTTAAAATGTATATATAATTGATTTTTTTAAATTTTCAGTTCTAAGAACAAACCAGGCTTTGAATTTAGTCATTTGAAATTGGCACTTTATCTTTCCAGAAAGAGGGACAGCAACTCTGAAACTTTGTATTATGAACACTTGTGTTTGTTTGCCTCTTTATGATGAATTTGTTGTATTCCTCGTTTGTAAGTCGCTTTAAATAAAAGCGTCTGCTAAATGAATAAATATAAATGTAAACTCTGGACTGATGGACTGGTCACCGCTGCCCCTCGGTCAAACACAACAGCCGCCGATGCAACTGTTTGCTGCTCGCTGCTATTTCTAGAAGCCACGAGGCGCAGCTGCCACCACACACCTGTTCATACCAATATCTGCTTTCATAGGGCACCACCGCTCCTCACGGGGCCCTGGGGCCACAGGTGGCCCCCCAGTAATGGGCACATGGCTCAGGCCTGTCATCAGGTCAAACAGGCCCCGTTATGGAGGAGGTTGCTGGGTTTTTGGCGAACTTCTGTTTTAACAATCAGCCTACAGGAGTGGAAAACCTGACACAGCAGCAGCGTCATTATCGTTAACTAAAACTAAAATTAAAACAAAAGATAAAAGATAAAATGTGACCCTGGAGCACAAAAGCAGTCTTAAGTCGCTGGGGTATATTTGTAGCAATAGCCAACAATACATCGTATGGGTCAAAATTATAAATTTTTCTTTTATGCCAAAAATCATTAGGATATTAAGTAAAGATCATGTTCCATGAAGATATTTTGTAAATTTCCTACCGTAAATATATAAAAACTTAATTTTTGATTAGTAATATGCATAGCTAAGAACTTCATTCGGACAACTTTAAAGGCGACTTTCTCAATATTTTGATTTTTTTGCACCCTCAGATTCCAGATATTCAAATAGTTGTATCTCAGCCAAATATTGTCCTATCCTAACAAACCATACATCAATGGAAAGCTTATTTATTCAGCTTTCAGAAGATGTATAAATATCAATTTCGGAAAATTGACCCTTATGACTGGTTCTGTGGTCCATGGTCACAAATATATAATAAAATACAAAAATTAAAAGATTATTCTAAATATATTGTAAAAAAGATATATTTTATAAAAAATACTTAAAAACCATAGAAAATGATACTTGAAATAAAATAAACGTTAACTAAAATTTTTTTAAAAATCTTATATATATATATAATAGACTTACAGTATACTAGACACACCGTATACTAGACTTACATAGACTTACAGTATACTAGACACACCGTATACTAGACTTACAGTATACTAGAGTACACCGTATACTAGACTTATACTAAGTATACTGCTTAGACCTCTGAGTGAGAAAGAAGGAAAAATGAGTATGTTTTTAGCCTTGTTAAGCAGGCAGAACGGCGAGTCAATCATCAGCCGAGCCCATGTGCTTTGCGCCGGTTTGCTCTGGAGCAGTGAACCTCGCCGTTTGCATCCCTAGTGCTTTTCCAACAGCGGACGATCGAGCTCTCCGGCATCTAACGGCCTTCTCAAAGCCCACAGACTCTCAGATGAAAGGCCGACAGTGTCTCTCTCGTACGCAGCTGGGCCTGTAGACGACTCCACTTCTCTTTCAAGGTCCCGTCAGCGAGACTAAAGCAAACGTACAGATCTTCACGGCCCGTAACCAGACTGTATATTTTGGCCTTCGAATGAGGAGTAGGTGCGGAGAAATGAAGAGAAGAAAGCCAATGGAAACTTTCTCCAGCACGTTTCAGTCGCTAACACTTGACGTGTGACAGGTACTCTCGCGTGATGCCAGGATGCAACATGATACAGAATTCAATTTGATTTACACCACAGTTTTCTGGAGCGAATGATTACAACTGATCACAGTTTATCATTCCAGCAGAATATGAATCCAAACCATCAGCACTACATGAACATAAATATAAGGCATTGCTACAATATTTACATGGCTTTTTCTTTATAAAACTGTACAGTCGTGTCAGCAGCAGGTGTAGAACTCATTTCCAAGACAAAAATACAAGCTTATCTAGTCCTAAAATTCCCTTTTCTTCAGGTTTTCAGCTCCTGTTGTGTAGAACAAGTAAGGGTAAGTGTTAAAATATATTTTAATAATTAAATAGACACCCATGACCGCATATTATGTATTATATATTTTTTATTGGTTGGAAGAATTTTTATTATGTATAAATGCTTACTATATATAAAATATTTATAACAGTAATGCTACATTTATATTTTAAAAATGTTTTATGTAATACATAAATATTATGTTAATTACACTACCTGTTCAAAAAACTGTCAGTAAGATTTTTTTTCATGAAATGAATACTTTTATTTTACAAGGGCGTATTAAATTGATCAAAAGTGACATTTTTAATGTTGTAAAAGATGCATATTTCAAATAAATGCTGTTCGTTTAAACATTCTAATCATCACAGAAATCTAACAGCAAAATATAACCTGATTTCCACAGTTTTCAACATTGATAATAATCAGAAATGTTTCTTGAGCGGCAAATCAGCAGAGAATGATTTCTGAAGGATCATGTGACACTGAAGACCGGAGTAATGAAAATTCAGGAAAAAATTTAATAAAAAAATATATTCAAACAGTTAAAACTGTTTTAAATGTAAGTTTAAATTGTAATAATATTTAAAAAAATGTTACTGTATTTTCGATTGAATAAATGCAGCCTCGCTGAGCATAAAAGACTTTCAAAGCATTTTAAAAATCTTACAAACCCCAAGCTTTTGAATTGTGGTGCATATGAAAATGGTTATTCTGTTCTTTATCAACTATATATTGAGCATTTCCATTTTTTTTCCCCATTTTGCTGTCATCGGCATTTCATAAAAGCAATAAGCCACTTGAAGCTGCAGTGATTTCACCAAAAACACCCCTTACTGTACATGACTGTAACATACTCTGTGGCTTTTTGCTTTACAAAAACACCCTGTCCATGTTAATTCAGCACTAGGCAAACGGCCAACAGACGAACATGTTTGGTGAAAAGATCCAGGATGAACAGATTCACGCCAGATCCTTCCTCAAAACGGCTTTTGCGGTTTCTGAAAATGAACCGCTTTTCCCGTCGACTCGCCTCGCCTTTCGACGTTTAATTATCAGAGATTCGCTCAAACGAACGGAGGGAAAAAACACGACTGGAGTCCTGACAGATCGGCTGCTGGGAGTCTTGGCTCTCGTCTAAACGCCAAAAGCCGTGAGTGGCCTCCTTTCTCAGTGCGCTATTACACTTCATTAATCTATCATGGGTGTTTTGCTATTTTGATAAGCCCTACCACAGCCATACATCAGCGGCGGCGTTCATCCCCCGAGCACACGCTCACCGTGTTCATGTTCCTGCGGGCTCTGGATCGTGTTGTGGTTGGAAATGTGATTTATGATTTCAACCTTTGTTCTGGGTTTGCGAAAACCGTCCGAAACGGGTCCCACAGACGCTCGAGTCCCTCAGTGACCAATCGAATGACTAGAGACGGACAGTTTAGGAGATTGTGAGGGACATCCAGGTCGCCTGTTCACTTCCTAGACAGAACAGGAAACGCAAGTTCCTCCTCTCGGACCGCGCTTCCCACAATGCATAGCGTGAGTTCTGGTGGCGAGCGGGTCACTGGCTCTCGTCCATGCTGACGCCCAGCCGCTTCATGACGGTGACGCGAGAGCTGCACTGGCTGGGTTTCTGCAGCAGCTCTGCTTTGGGCTGGAAATGCGCCGTCAGGATCTTCAGGACGTTCTCCAACTTCACGTCCATCTGAAGCACCTACAAACAAAGATACATTGATCTGAGAAAGGAAGCTGTTTTGCTGGATTTCGGGTGGTGCGCTGTAGTGGGCTACTGACTGAAAAGGCTGTGCGAGGGGTTAATCCATGAACAATCACCATTGTGCTCCAGTAATGCACTTAACCTCAGACTGTTTAACCCTTTAAGAGAAAGAAAATCAGGCTAAAGTCCACTCAGAGATGTGTGTTAAGATTATTTCTAATAAAACGTTATTGTTTACACTAAAGGCACGTATTGCTGCATGAAAAAGCATTAAAAAGAGCGTTTGAAGTAAATTAAGTGAATCTTGTGGTCATAATTCTATATATAATATAATAGAAAATATGGCCATAATAAATAAATAAATAATTTAATTAATTTTTGCACTGACATTTGTCATTACTTTTTCATTATTGTAATATTTAAATTTAAATTTAAATTAGTATGCAACAATTACTACATTGATGTATACAAGTTATAATATATGTTTTTGCATTAAATAAATAAATAAATACTATTTTCTGTTTTAATTTCTATTTTATTTAAATTTTAATAATTTTGTTGTCGTTTTGTAATTGTATTAATTAAAAAATATATATATGTATATATATATAATGTTTTTTTTTGTTTTTATTAATTTTTATTTCAGTTTTAGTTTGAGTTATTTTAGTGAATCAAGTTAAACTAAATGAAAATGTGAAATGTTGCTCTGGTAACTTGCTGGAATAAAATAAGTAAAGTTTTACATCAGTCAAAGTTTAGTTTATTTCAAGTAAGGACATTTCAGTTTTACATTTTTAATTACATTTAGTCTTAAATAGTTTTAGTGAACTATAATATCCCTGCATTACAATGCAAACTTTTTTAATGGTCTTAATGCAAAATAATTTCTTATGAGATTCATTGTATTTGCACCATATTGGTTATTTATTTGTTTATTCATTCATTCATACATTCATTCTTATATTAGATATTTCATTTGACTTTCATTTTAATACATGTTTATACTTTCATATTGTTTCTTATTTCTTTTTCATTTTTTATTTTAAGACTTACTTTGACTTTTACAGTCATCTAACACTAACTTGAAGGGACAGAGATCAATTGAGAGCTTTAAGAGCATTTTCTCTTGAAGAGCACTTTCACTTTAAGAGATATGACCCATTTTGGGGTGAAATATGACCTGGACATGCTGCATAGAATTCACCCAGTCAGGATATTTGAAGTATACTTAAATAAATACTTGAAAATCCAAAATCAAATGCATTTTGCGAAAAGGTCAGAACATAGGTGACGAGAACAGCATACATCAAACAATATGTGACTTTAACACAAATTCTCAGAAACAACCCTTCATGCATAAGTGTTTTTCTTTCAGAATGGGTCATTCATTTCAGAAAGCTACTTAAGTTTATGAGCCCTCGCTAGTCATCATTTAACTGTCTAGCACACACACAAAACAAAAGCAGGCCGTCAGTAACCTGAGACGCCAACACAAGCCACGAGAAGGTCTGCGCTCAACAGTGCGCCGTTTCACTGCGAGCCGACATAAATATATTTTCATAAAGAGAAGGAGCATTCACTGCCTGTTAGAGGGGAAATATAAATCTGAACCATAAACATGTCATTGATAATCTACGCCATTATCTGCATTCCCAAGCGAGGCGCTGCGCTCAGATTAGGAATTCCTCTGGTCTGTGGAGCCGGAGCACGTTGACCCGTGGAGACCCCAGGAAAAACAACTCTAAAACAGCCACAGAAATTGTGCTTGGACTGCAAATTCACTGCTCTGAGAACAGGCCGCGGGTTTGATGCTTTACGCCCAAATCACCACCAATGGAAGCAAGAACGCTACTTGTTTTCTTGGAGTTTCTCCAGCAAAACTTACATTTCAAGTGCAGAAAAGCAGTCAAGCGTGTCATTTAACCTATTAATTAGTTATTAAAGGAATAGTTCACCCAAAAAATGAGAATTTGCTGAAAATGCACTCACCCTCAGGCCGTCCAAGATGTAGATGTGTTTGTTTCTTTATCAGATTTGGAGAAATGTAGCATTACATCACTTGCTCACCAATGGATGTGAATGGGTGCCGTCAGAATGAGAGTCTAAACAGCTGATAAAAACATCACAATAATCCACAAGTAATCCACACCACTCCAGTCCATCAGTTAATGTCTTGTGAAGCCAAAACTGCGGGTTTGTAAGAAACAAATCCATCAAAACACCACTCCAGTCCATCAGTTAATGTCTTGTGAAGCCAAAAGTGCGGGTTTGTAAGAAACAAATCCATCAAGATGTTTTTAAATTCAAACCGTTGCTTTTGGCCAAAATATGAATCTGTAATCCATAATAACACTTCCTCCAGAGAAAAAGTTGCTCTGAATCAGGAGAAAAATATGTACAGATCAAGCACCGTTTACAAGCCAAGACAGTACAAAGCAGCTCTAAACAAGTACACTACCAGTCAAAAGTTTTTGAACAGTAAGATTTTTAATGTATTTTAAAGAATTCTCTTCTGCTCACCAAGCCTGCATTTATTTGATCCAAAATATGTTAAAAGCGGTTATAGAAATTAATACTTTTATTTAGCAAGGATGCTTTAAATTGTTCAAAAGTGATGATGAAGACATTTATAATGTTACAAAAGATTTCTATTTCAGATAAATGCTGTTCTTCTGAACTTTCTATTCATCAAAGAAGTCTGAAAAAAATTGTACTCGGCTGTTTTCAAAATAATAATAATAAAAGCAGCAAATCAGAATATTAGAATGATCTCTGAAGGATCATGTGACTGGAAAGGCAACAGGAGATGGACTTTTTCACTGGAGGAAGTGTTATTATGGATTATAGACTCAGATTTTGTCCAGAAGCAATGGTTTGAAGTTTAAAGCATCTTGATAGATTTGTTTCTTACGGTACTTGCATTTTGCTCAGCTAAATAGTAGTAAATAGTTTCTGTCTGAGTTTTGCCAACTGGATCTTCTTCTCCTGAAGATGAAATGCAAAACAGCAGACAGACTTTGCTTCCTTTAAGCAGACTATCTATCATGGTTAAGTCAATAATCATCTCCCCAAAAAGAAGAATTTAATCTTTATGAGCTTTGTGAAAAACAACACGCTCCGTTCATTCATCGTGCTGATAAGAGCTCTGGGGTTCTTCAGCCGCTGATGAAGCGTTGGCTTGTTTTGAATCGGCTGACTACTCGCCGTCTGCTGTGTCTTCACATGTCAGACTGGAGGCTGGAGTGTAGCCAGAGCTTCTAAATTGCAAAAATGCCTGAAGAAACTGTTAGCGACCAAGATAAACTGTGTTTTGGCTGAAGTCTCAAAGCAGCTGTTTCATTTAACATTTCATTTTCATTTCATCTATGCCTGGACTGAGATCTATCTATCTATCTATCTATCTATCTCTGCTT